AAAGAGTGTGAGAGAGAGAAAGAAGGATAAAATGCATTTTAAAAATAAGTGAACTGGCATTGCATTTCACAAAAAAAAATCATTAAGCTCAAGATTTTGGAACAAATTCACTGTAAAGTGCTAACTGGTTCGAGCAGAGAAAAGCACACGTTCCCTTTTTGAAAAGATTATACACATTACTTTATACATGGAGGTACAGTTAAAGCCAGTCATCAGGCGAGCAATTACCAACCAGAAGACATGGACCACATTTCATGTATTAGTCCTTTAATAAGATAACTGCTTCCTTAATTTCCTTTGTTAATGGTAACAACGAGAATCTTGCCACTGGTTGCCAGTTACATTGCCATTTACAAATGCTGGTGTCATCACTATACAATTTCTCCTGTGCTCCTTTGTAACTACATGCAATTGACTGACATACAGTATTAAAACTCTCAAGTCAAGTCCTTCTGAATCCTCATATGGACAGGAGTCCTTGAACCCCTGCTGGAAGTGGTGGACTGGCCTGACAAAAGCAGGGATCTGTCCCCTTTAATGCCTGCCTTGCTGCAGGTCCTGAGACTCCACTGTTTACCTTTTTGTGCCTCATAATCAGAGGCATGTTTTATGTAAAAAAGAAAAAAAAGGAACAAATGAAAAAAAAAATTATATGGAGGGGACTGCGTCAATAAATTTCTCCCCTATCGTCCACCTGAAGTGAACACAGCCCTCCCCACCCAATCCTAAACATAAAAAGGTAAAAACTAGGTGTACTGCAGAATGGCTTTACTCCTCACAGTCTGTGGGGGGAGCTCGAGCCCCTAGGAGCTGAGGTGCGGTTGGTGGTCTTGCGGCTGTTCTGTCGTGTCTGATTCAACTTGGTGGCCGAAGGTTTCCGAGCATCAGGCTGGCGCCTCCCCTGGGGGCCCCTCCGTTTGCCCCTCTGCCCTGCACGGCCCCTTCCGGCCCCCGCTGGTCACTTGCGTGAGTGCAGTGTGTCCTGGAACTTGGTGCTGGTGTAGCGGACGTGGAATCCTTTTTTGTTGATGGTGTCGTCGGAGCGGAACTTGATCACAATGGAGTCGCCGGCCGAGTAGATCTCCTCTGGAGGCTGTCAGGAGGGAAACCACAAACACATTCATTTAAGGCCTTTGTAACTTTCTGCTTCTTTGATTGCACTTCAATTTAAAGTAAAGCCTTCACTAGCGTTCAAGCCAAAGTCAAACCAGTGACTATGACTAATGGCTTCTAACTACAGAGGAGGGTTAGTTCCCCAACAGCAAGCGGCCAACCGAGGGCCCTCGACCACGGCTGCCTCATTATAGCTTTTTAAGTTGCGGCTGATTGCTGTACTACTAATCTAGAATAAATTAAACTAAAGTGATTTTAAAGAGTCACACAAAGTAGATGGAATTAAATATATTGTTTTAAGAGATTCCTACATATTTTATTATTACAATGTGCTAGTCTCACATTCATTTTATAGCATATAACTAAAAAAAATCTAAACGCATCATTATTGGAGGTGTACACCACTGCTGGACAGTGCTTTGCTACATTTAATGAAACAGTCAGATTAGTCATTAGCTGTCAGGGGTTTGAATGTGCATTTATCGTATCACAATACATTACATTTACATGTATTGATTTAGCAGATGCTTTTATCCAATGTGACGGAGAGGAGACCTAACAGTTGAGCTACATTAGCTAGCTAACTAACTAGAGTGAGAGTGCAGAAGTGGAGACAAGTGCAGAAGGAGAAGGGAGGAAGAATTCTTGTTCTGTGGAGTGTGATAGAAAAGTACTGGGTTAATATACTGTATCTCAATGTAAAGGAATGTTTCTGATTTCATTAAGAGATGCTCTTAATGTTACATTGTACACCACTTGTATTTCTGTAACATATACTTGATACCATTATGGTTCATGGCCTTCATAATCCCTAGCTAGAAACAGAAAATAATTATCTAGAATCTAGATTACTATTTTCTGTTAAAATCTTCAAAACATTTTTTTCACAGAAAAGAGAAAATTGCACTAAATTGCCTAAGAATATGTAGCAATGTGCCATTCTATGTTTAAAATTCAGAAAAAACTGGAACCTCAACCTCATTCCATAAGCAATGTACTGCACAAAATAAATCCGCAAAACGTCTTTGAAAAACTTTGGAAACTTTTTCATAGAGTTTAGACACTTCATCAGAAGATTTGTGGAAAAAAACATTTGGAAACTTTTACGGAAAAATATGCTGATTTGCCTAATAAATGTAGAAATTCCCCTATGCTTAAAATTCATGTAAAAAAATCTACATGAAGAAATACATTACAAAATAACAGTAGAATAGTTTCAAGACTCTTTTTTCTATGATTTCCACCAGACAGCACATTAGTCCTGACATCAACAAATGACAACATATCTCTTCAGTAAAGAAAAAACAAACATATCGTACGCAGCATCTCATTTGTTCAAACATTTTCTTTAAAGCTCAGGCGACTTTATCTGTACTTTGTGAGCACAGACAAGATACCCAGCACTTGACCTGGCTTTTTAAAAATGATGTTTGTGTCAAATGATTTTGATGATGAAAACCAATCAGCTGGTTGAGCTGATATATGGATGTGACTTAACAAAGATGAACACAGAATGTTCAAGCAGATTGAGGTTCAGCTACTGACTACACATATATATATACATATATACAGTACATATATGTATATATATATATATATATGTACTGTATATATATATATATATATGTACTGTATATATATATATATATATATACATATATACACACACACATATATATATATACATATAGTGCATATTTTACATGTTTAAGCAGGCTGACAGTATGATTCTAAAGTGTATCTGAAAAAAAAAAGTTTTTGTAACTGGATTGATGAAAAGTCATTATTACCGGACAACCGGCAACAAACAGCCCACTATTGTACAGAGACAAGCCCAAAGGCTAAATGTAAAGCCTCCCTGCACTAGAATAATAGGGTTTTTTTCACCCTACTTTGGAATGAATTGTGCCAGTTTATTTTCGATTAATTTTATAAAAGGAAACTTGATTGAAGAGTGGCTCCTCAGGGACTCCACGGTGTTATGTACCCTCCAGCGAATGATTCACAGGAACAGGCGTGGCTAAAAGGCCAGAGCTTATTACTGGAGTGTATAAATGAAATCAAGCTGTTCCCTGACCCACGGAAACTGCTGTTTCTATTTCCTGCTGCTCACCCTGTTCCTGACCGCGGCTGCAGCCTCAGCATTGGATGATTAATTTGAATTTACAACCCAGTGCCAGAGACTCTAATAGGCTATCGGCACCAAGGGAGTGACGGCTGATGTCGGCCGACATTACATTAAATTTAACAAAGCGATTAAAATACAGAATGGAAGCAAAAGCCCCAGGGTGGTTCAAAGCCACCTTATTACAAACTACTGCTGAAGGTTATTCAGCAGCAGAGCTTGTTCTAAAACAGTCTCAATTCTCCTGTTGTTTCGCTGCAAAACTGAAAATAAACAGGCTGAAGTCAACAGCGAAAAGACATTTTCTTACCCCTGACCCACAATAACGCCCCAGCCTTGGAGATTTGGTGTCGTCTCCATCGAAGAGCTCCATGTAGTCATAGCCACAGTCGGCCTCTTCTTCTATCTCAAAGGTCTGGAAGATGAGCTCCACGCCGTAGCCCTTCTCAGCAGAGATCACCCACTCACAGTCTGAGGCTCCAGGGTAGTTGTTGTCTCCAAACTGGGCATGGGAGAATAGGTCCTTGGTTTTGACTTCGGCTTTCAGGTGACCTCCACACTCTGTATGGAGAGAACAGTTGAGCTGCATCTGGGATTGTGGGAAGATAACAAATTGTTCTATTCTGTGGCTCATTTGTTTTCTTTTACAGTCATCCACGTACAAATGACTCTCAGCTCGGCTCTGTTTTTAATATGAGTCATGATCATTCTCAGACATGATGGTGGTTGTTCTTCAATGTACTGCATGACAATGAGTCCAGACTGATTTACTTTAAAAAGTAGAGCATGCTAACATTTTCTCTTTTTTATGTTTTGCAAGTGAGCCAATTATTTCTTGGTGTTTTTTTGTGGCAGTGAGAGAATAAACTGCATCAGTGATAGTGATCTTACTCAAGAAAACATATTGGCTATGGATTGATAACCTCTAAAGGCTAGTCCATATTGCAACAACGGCAGGACTCCTCTGGTTTCCCCTCACCATGCCAGACAGACACAAGGTTTTCTTTACTTTACAGGAATTGGACATCAAGCGAGTCGAATGTGTAAAAGATTTTTATAAATGCATTTTTCTTTTCTTGTTTGGCATAACTCTGTTTTATCACTTATTACATCTCAGTTGTACACCCTGAATCTGTCGGGATTTAATCTGAGTCTGAGTCTGAATCTAGTAGTGGCCTTGCTTGTCTGTAATAAGAGATTTAATTGTGCAGATGTGCAATAACACATATTCCAAGGGCATTTTGTCCTATGGTAATAAGGTAAATAGAGACTCTTCAACTAAAATGTCTACTCATCATGAGTAGACCCTCACTTTAAGAAAAAGACAGACAAAAAAAAAGACAAACTCAAATGCAGTAACCCCATCATAAGGTAAACGACTGCACTTTGCACATCTATTTTTACCTGCAGTGTGCGACGCCTCAAAGCCTTTCTTCTGTACAGAATTATCAGAGAAGAAGTGAATGAACAGCTTGTTGCTGCTGGATGTTATGGGCTGGGGTTTCTTTGTGCCACAGAAGCGGCCCAGACTTGGTGCTTTTCCATCACGACCGTCGTAAATCTCAATGTGATCGTAAGTACACTCCAGGTGAGGTTCCAAGTCAATTTCATTGAAGGCCTGTGACACAAATAAAAAAGCATGTACATTAAATATCATGGGAAATATAAACCTCATTTCCTGTGAAGTAAGTATACTTCCTAAAAATGGCACAGAGATTTACCACTGGGTTGCATTCCTTTTTCTCTTGGTTATACCTTCTAGTGAAGTTTTTTAGGTTTTATGCAGAAATTTGATGCAGGACTATGTAAAAAAAAACATTATTAATTAAAACAAATGAACATGTTAAAAAAATCTAATTCATTTTTTCCCATAAATGATCTACTGTCTTAGTGTAATAAGATAATTTAACATCATTTTTTGTGATTGTTTTATCAATTACTGACATGTTACTGCAAATGCATACATATATACAGAACATATCACATTCAAAAAACAACTTTGAAAACATCAGAAGTGTAGTAACAGATGCGACACATACGATTTTAATGCGGTGTCCTGGAGTGGTGGTGAGTGCCCAGGTGCATGCCTTCTTACTGGGGTATTTATCGGGCCAGTTAGGGCTGGTGATAATGCCACTCACGCTGTTCACAGTGTGATCGCAGCCAGCTACAAAAAGACATCACCGAGTCAACAAGATGGTCCTTAAAGTGAAGAGGCTTCTGTGTTCGTATCACACAAGACCACGCTGGAGAATTCTACACAACAAAAGAGCATAAAAGTTGTCTTGCGAGGCGATTTACCTTCTTTGCAGTCGTGTTTATTCTCATGTAGCACAAAGCCACTCCTGCACTGACAGCTGTAGCTCCCAAAGGTGTTGACACACTCATGTTGACAGCCGCCGTTCTCCTTGGAGCACTCGTCCTTATCTGAAGAAGCAGACATGACACAAGAGACTGATTCCATTGAAATGTACATGAAAAAGGTGAAAGAAAACTAAATGGAAGGCATTTATTCAGTGTTCTCCTGGTCAAATAGTCAAGCCAAAACATTTAGAAAAGCTTAAAGGCAGAAATATAGAAGTTCAAATTTTTAGTTTGTTTATATTTTATTTCCATAGTATCATCGCAAAAAATCTGTAAAAAGCCTCACTTTACAAAAGATTCTTGGCTGCTGTTTCGTGTGTTATTCATGTTTTATGGTCGTAGTTGTGCAAACTCAAAAGTCATTAATATTTACGTAAGATGGGGTGAGAAAAGGTGTGTATTCATAAAAGTAAATTGTCATGGTGCATGTACTCATTTTTTTAAATTTAGAAGGAGGAATCAAGGATGTGCTGTTGAATCTGATTTAAAGATTTTCACTATCAGATGAGAAATTCACTTTGTTGCTTTTTCACTATTTCTAACTTCTGAGATTGAGTCTTTGGTCATAATTTATATCAAATCTTTTTCCAAATACTCTACAGGCTTCAGTCATTAAAGGATCCTCACATGGGTGAAATAAAATTTGTGGTGGCTATGCTGTGCAAGCTGTTACAGTGTGTTAATGGTGGTTAAAAATGTCAAGTATAACTTTTACTCTCTATAACTTACTACTATAACTTTTATATTGTAAAAAGAAATTTATATCATTAAAGGTGCATATCCACAATGACATTGTTCTGTAAAGCTACTGTACTTCCTCGAAGCAGTCAGTAAATGTAGGATTGAGTTAAAGGTTAGTAGTGATCTGTAGCCTGACTGTTGGTTATAATCTACGGCTGCTCACGGGTCCTTTAACAAGCTCAGCAGCTGTAATCACCCTGTTATTAGCCGTGTGACTTACTAGCACTCGAGCACTCACCTGAAAAGAACTGTGCCTTGAAGCCCTTTTTGGACACTGTGTTGTCAGACTTGAACTCAATGCGCATGTTGTTGTACTGAGATGTAATAGCCTCTGGCTTCTCTGCTCCACAGAACTTTCCGTGTAGCCTGGAGTCAGCTGAAAGTCCACTCCGAACCTCCACGTAGTCGTACTTACAAACCTGACAAAGGTATGAAAGAAGGCCATCAGGCACAGGCATTTTATTTGTGTTAAAAAATATATATGAGATAACAAAAACTTGAGGAGGGGGGAGATGAGGGGGAAGAGATGACAAATGAGAAGCGAGAGGTGAAGAGAGAGAACAGAACAAACCCACCCCGTGTCGATTCAAAATAACCCCAGTGCTCACGTCATTGCCCTCAGTCTCAAAGACGTCAAAGAGCAGAGTGATGCGATACTGTGTAGGGGCAACCAGCTGCCAGATGCAGTTCTTGTTTGGAGGATACTCTCTTGGCCAACCTGGACTTGTGATTGAGCCATTCAGCTTGGTGATGAATCCTCCACAAGCAGCTGTGCAAAAGAAAAACACAACATAAAACAGCGTAGAGAAGAGAAGAGGACAAATGTTAGCTGAATGAACACATGTGCTGACAGAAAATAAACTACAGCACATGTGTTTGCTCTGGAACACGTTCCAAATGGTATGTTGCAAACCATATGGCTGAAATGAAAGGCCCTTTTCTGTGTCTTGAATTATCTTGATAACAGCCTGAAAGCACTTAGGCAAGCTTTGCATCGGTTACACAATACACATGTAACCAACAGCGGCTGGAAACCCTTTCCCTCACCAGGCTTTTCACACAAATATAAATGTTCCTTTTTTTACAAACATGCAGGTTGCGAAAGGAATTAGCATACCGCCATGTATGTAAAAAAGAAAACCCTCAGGTTACCTAAAAACATTACTTAAAATTCTAAATATTTAGGTTATTTTTAAAAATACAAACATAACCATGTTGTTGTTAATTTAATGTCAAATCTAGAGCATATTTATATAAATATAAACAGGATATATAGTTTGAGTTTAACAACAGATTTCTTTTATGTTTTGTTTTAGAATTTACCTTGTAGTATAGTGTTAAATTCAAACCACTACAGCTGATACTAATAAAAACATTTATGATTAATATTTTGTTAATTAAACTTTTCTGACACTAAGCTTAAAAAGAAAAAGAACAAATAATTTATAATTAGGTTAAATTAAATTGTAAGTTTTATCTGATAATAAAAAGCCAGCTCCTTGTTGTAATAAATATTTCAGAAATAAATAGTCAAGTCATTCATTTAAAGAATAAATTGTGGTAATTTCCAGCCTTTGCTGTTTGGTAATTACAGTCTTTCGCGCTACAATGACTAATTGTTTGGCTCCATTACAAGGACTACAAATAAATCATGGCTTGACACTATATACAGGTTGTACATACAGTATTATGTCCTTAAAGAAGAATACCAAGAGGTATAATTGTAGCAAACTATTCAATAGAAAGAACTAGTAACAGTCAGAGCCCACACTCTGGGAAACCAGCAAAACAATTAATGAAGAGACTTGTTCTCTTCATTAATTGTTTTGCTGCAATAAAAAATATGAACACTCATTTCTACACACACCCACACACACACACACATACAGATTCTTACAGAAACCGACAACACAGCTGCCCACAAAGGGCAGCTGAAGGTATTGACCCTCCTGAGATGCCGCACTAACTTAAGAGGATAAGAAACAACCTCTATCCTGCCTCTGTACAACCTCCCAGCCAGGCTTATTAGCCTCAGCAGTGCAGGTGCAGCCAACAGCTGCTGACCAGCCAAGAAAACTATGATCTAGATTCAAGATCCCAGTGCAAAACACAATTACATCCTGTTGTAAATGGGCCTTGGCACAGCAGTCAGATTGGATGAGCACAGGTGTAAAAAAAAAATGATCAAAGAAATCATGGTACCAGTTCCATTTAGCATGTGAAGCGTTGCGTGTCACCATTTCCAAATGTATGTTGACTGTATTTTTATCTCTTATGATTGGACAACACATATTTAGTCGATTTGAAGGCACAGATTTGTTGATTTAAATTTTGCATTGTACTAAAAATGCTGTGGATGGTTCTGTGGGCCACTTTTGGTATGCGGGCCAGGAGTTTGATACCTGATTTATACTCACATTCATCCCTATGGACACTTATAATTAAACTTGTGTTTTTGACTGTAGGGTAGAAAGTATGTAAAAGATGTCAGGTAATTAAAACCTTTCCGACAGGAAGTAATATTAGTGGAAATGAGTTATAGACACAATTTTCTACTAAAACATGTCAAAATGTATTATCTTATCACAGGCTGTAGAGACTCATTGTACAAGCTGAACAACATGAAAAAGCATTAGTGAGGGGAGATTTTCCTCTGGTGCTGCACTGTTGTTGGTCAGGTATTGTCCAGTACAGCTTTAACACTCAGGTACAACAAAAACAACAACATGTAATTTAATACAAAAGTAATACTTGACATGCTGTGACTCAAATCTACAAATGACAGACCAGTCAACAAAGGCAGCGCACACCGTATTCTCACTGGCTTTTAGAAATAACTGGATTATTATGCCTGGGTGGCTAAATGTGTTAAGTCCTTGAGCATGTAAATTACATAGCCAGCAGTGCTGGTAGCTTTTCTCCCTGTACTTACCCTCACAGCTGCGCTTGTCAGCAGCCAGCTCATAGCCTGGGTCACAGGCACACTTGTAGCTGCCTAGTGTGTTGACACAGCGTTGCTCACAGCGACCGTTGTCCGGTTTGGAGCACTCATCCATCTCTGAAAGGACAAAGATATGTTGGCACCCTGTTAGTCGGCCTCCCTGCCTCAATGGTTTTACAAGAAGAACCCTCTGACACAACAGCAAGGGCAGAGAAAGAAGGTCCCAGAGATGGACCAGAAGGTAAGGGAGAGAAAACATTTACTTTAAAACTAACAGAAAAAAGATGTGACATGAGGGAATGTTTTTTTTTTTCTTTATCTTTCAAAGGGTCGACCCCCCCCCCCTCACCTTTGAAGAAGTTGGCAGCAAAGCCAGCCTTGTTGACGGAGCCATCTGAAACAAATTTCATCCACAGGTGGTTGGAGCTGGTTTTGATGTCATCTGGTTTGTCGTAGCCACAGAAGCGGCCAAGGAGAGGGCTGTTTTCAGAGTTGCCATCACGCACCTCCAGGTAGTCATAGGCACAACTGTCATGTCTCTCAATCTGTGAAACGTTAAAGACTTTGAGGTTTAGCACAAGCACCAAGTTGGCATCAAAATAATTAAAAACATTTTAAATACATCAAAATCATTAGGGATTGAGTGCTTTCTTTTTCTTCTTTTATTTCTTTGGTCGGCACGACTTGGTGAAATCTTGAACATGGCCCAGTAGCTGACAGTATTGCATGTGGTGTAAAAACACGAGAAAATGAAGACAAAAGAAGGGATGGACGGAGGGACAGGATCAGCTAAACTTTTACAGGAAACCAAATCTCAAATATAATTGTTTTATAATGCAATTTTTAAACACCGAGGTACAAATGTAGGTGTAAAGTTGTGAGATCTGTAGAAGATGTATCATGACATAGTCATAGTTACACATTATTTTATAAATAAAACATAGTGCAGGCACTCAACGGCCATTTAAACTTTGTTTAATGCACTCCCCATAGGAGAGAGGGGGAAGTATAGTGACATCTTTTTGGTTTGTAATTACTTTTTTATTTTATCTTTAAAAACCAACTCTTACCTCAAATGACTGAAAAGTGAGGCCTACGTGGAAGCCCTGAGCTACAGAAATCTTCCACACACACACTTTGTTGGGTCTGTAGTCATCAGGATAGTTAGGAGACTGGATCTGGCCGTTGTCCTTCTTCACCTCCCCACCACAGATGGCTGTAAGTGACAGTTGGGGAAGAAAAAGAACAAACAAACAGAAGTGAATTTTTTCGATGGAAATTTCATCGGAACATGATTTCGGTGAAAGAAACTTTCAGTTCCGATTTACGCAATCTGGATTAACTAAAATACCTTCTCCTCGTACTCACACACACAAAAGCATGCATGCACGTACACACATGTTCGAACTGTCTGGAAACAATGGAGCTGACTGTGACGGCCGGCCAAAAATCTGATTAACGCAGTTTAAAGTGGCTGACACATCAGCAGTGGAGGAGCCAAAAACTCTGGATATAAATGCAGCTTCTAGGCACATTGTTGGATGAGCGACTGACTCAGTGTTTAGTCAGCCGAGGCGACCTGCTAGATTGGAGATCAGGAAGGCCGTGAAACGGGTGCTTACCCTCATAAACGGCGGAGAAACCTTTTCCCACCCAATTACTGCTGCTGCGGAACTCAATCCACAGGCGACTGTCTGTGGAGATGATGGGCTCGGGCAACTTATCCCCACAGAAACGACCTGGGTCAGAGGTAGAGGAGGACACAGATTAAGCACAGTGAGCTCTTTGTGATAAATGAGATCTGCTCTGAAATTCTTTCACTTCGAGGAAGTTACTGGGATGAGAAGAAATATAAGACAGTGACTAAAATAAATCAGCATTAAACTAACTGTAAGAAATTAAAGCGTGCAAACGTGGCCAACCAGCTCAGTTTTTCTTTTTTTTTAAAAAAAGGCCTGAATTTCATTATGCAACTAGATCAGCAACAAATCATCCTTATATGTTTATCCAAATCCAAATCCATCCTTTTATTTATTTTTTAAGTTAAGCTGCTTATAGACTACAATCAAGCAGAAAGATAAATCACACTTATTTCTATTTTATTATGAACATGGATAAAGATATAAAGTCATTTGTTAGAGCAAATTGTTTTTATGTTTTATCTACAAATAAAATAAATTAATTAATTAATATCAAAAAATAACTTGAGCTGATATTCAGTACTTTTGTGCCCAAGTATATCACTGCCCATGACCAGGATTAAACACAACTGTGACTTCGTCACGTTCTGACAGCTTCAGGATTGTGCTTTGGGATTTTGTACAGTATAGGATTAAGAAGAGGCTGATAACATCTTAAGCAAAGGCTTGAATATAATCAGATGTACTACGAGGTGTACCGCTTCTGATGTTGTGAGCACGTGTTCCAGAAATGTCAGATACTTGAGTTTTGCTCAGAGCTTAAATCCCAACTGTGGCCTCAGATCATTTGTTCTTGTTCAATCTGACCTTTGAGCGGCGCTTTTCTCCAGTAACCATCACGGATCTCCACGTGGTCATACCAGCACAGGTGACTCCTGTACAGATCCATGGAGGTGAAGTTCAGAATGATCTTAAAACCACAACAGAGAGAAATTATTGACACACTGTTGGCCCAAAATCACACAATGCTGGGCAGACAGAGTGAAAAACAAAAAAAAGTGCTAAAAGTGCTAAAAGTTTTTGGAAGCATTAGTGTGAATCTTAAGGAGCAGACTCTGTAGCTTAAGTCCTTTAAGGTGTTGCAAAATTGATCTTTAACTTTCCAGACATCCCATACCTTTTCTCCGGGTGTGACTGATATTCTCCAGATGCAGTGCATGTAGGCTGAGTATCCATTGGGGAAACCAGGGGAGGAGAAGTTCCCGCTGCTGTCCTGCATACTGTCCCCACATCCTGAGCAACAAAAAGACAAACACAGAAATCTGTAAGTAAGGCATGCATGTCAAAGATGTCGCTCAAAAGCCAGGCTGAGATCAACTGAGTTCAGTCTCCATGTGTTTTATGTCTATCAAAACTGGGCAGCTTGTATATATGAAAGTAGATGATACCTTGTCGCATTTATCAAAAACAACTTTTTGTGATTTCAGCCACCACACGGTACAGAAATCACCATGAAAGACTGTAACAAAAACTTCTTCTGAGGAGTAGAAGAAATGACTAATTAGCCTTGAAGCTCAGTTTGTTCCAAGTTTTGCGAGATGAGTTGGACAAGTTTCCCTGCATGAATAATTTGTCATATTTAAGCAGAAATGTGCTAATTATCTGCTGTTGTAGAAGTTGGACCCATCATGTCGGTAACAACTTAAAATTGAACAATCTAATACATTTCCATTTCAAAATCTCATTTGGCGTGATTCTGATATCACTAGAAGCTGTCGTTAGAACTGGTTTTAATCGTACCCCTCTGTGTGACTGAAATCGAAACACCCACGCATTAGCTGGTGCCAATAAATCTCAGCTATGTCACTAAATTCTGGCCACACCAGCAGTGAACTCAGTCCCCTGTAAACCTGCTGCAGTGGCAGATGCTTGATGATGGAATTGTAAAAGTGAGTGAAGTAGAGGGCAGCACTTTTATGTTCAAAGGCACATCTGCTGATAATATGCATCTACTACTTCAGTGCCTGCGCCTGCTCCAGAAACAAACAGCCGCCACTCCAGACGATGATTGCACAAAAAGGAACAGAATGAGGGACACTTTATCTGAGTGTCCTCTGGAAAAAAAAAACCTGGCCCTCTATAAATAAACCAGCTCTCTGGAGGATGTGATGCATTATGTACATATTGCTCCAGAAAAAGAACAAAAAACAAAACAGCCTTTGAGTGTGACAGCCCATTCTAAGCAATGCACACAGCCTATCGACAGAACTGCAGCTGCTGCCGAGTTGGGGAAAGATGTGTTTAATTAAGACTAAGAGCAAATGACAAAGGTCCATCTTGGGAGCTGTGTCTGCATTCATTATTGCCTCGGTGTTATCTTTACCTTGGGCTGAGTTTCGCAGGAGTAAGGAAAACAACTCCCTCCGACTGTTTGCATTTACTGCTCCCCCAGAGGACTTGGTGTAAGCAATAAAACGAGGAGCCCAGAGCTAGGGGTTGTGTGTAATAATGTTTGGCAGAGGTCTGCCAATACTAAACCATTAACAAGCGCTACGGCACACACTGGGGGATACAAACACTCCCAGGACTTTGGCGAAAATGGGAGATTTCTAGCTCTTTAGGGAGCCTTTTTTTCTAAGATCACAGTGAGAGGTTCCTTACATCATCCCCCAAGATGTGTGCCACATCATCCAGTCTTCTCCTAAAGGCGGAGCTTACAATAAAGTGTGAAACATTTTGACATAGACGTCCACTGTTGATTTGTCCAAGGCCAAACCGTCCTGGTCTGCTCTAAGACCACATCAGCTGGTTTGGTCTCTCCAGAACAATCGCTGTGTTTATGTTCTTTAATGAGAGCTTGATAGCTCAAGCTTCACTGGCCTGACCTACACTTAACTGATATAAAATCTATTGAGCAGAAGGCCTCTCTCAGTGCACTTCTGCAAATGCTGTAAATTCTATTTACTTCTGCACCATTAAATTCTCTCCCTCTTCTCCGTAAAGAAACTTCAGAGAGGGGCCAGGATTACATATCCTTTTCTTCACGCATAGCTCCACGGTTTACGTTTTACACAGCGCTGGTTGTTCTGACATGACAACAATTCCCAACAATCTTTTTAGTCATTAGCTGTGAGAGACCAGATGTTCTTTAAGGTCTATCTGGGAAAGAGCAATGACAAACTTCCTGTCCCGGGGCAGTGTTTACACTCCTCCTAGTTTGGGAGCCTCGGACACTGTAGCCAAGGAACCACAGTGCACCACATCAACTGTGGATGCTCAGCTATTTCTACACAGCGAGAGTTGCATCTGGGAAAGTCAAGAGGAGCTGTGAACCTCTCGCTTTCTCCCTCTTCTCTCTCATTTTTCTTCTCTCCTTCTGCCTCTCTGTCTTTCTTTTTCAGAGCTCTGGTGCACTCACGTGCAAAAATAGACAGGAAAAAGCCACAGCAGAGAGAATCTCTCATTTGGTCTTACTGGAGCATTTGTAGAGTTTGCGCGCCTGAGTGATGTCCCCTTTGCTCAGTCTGGTTCTCTGGCCAATGGGTGGTCGTACCCCATTTACATCATAGCGAGGGAGGATGGTGTCCAGGAAGATGCCTCTGTAATTAAGAAAGAGAAAATCATGATCATTATACTCATTTACACAATCATCGAAATAAGTAAACTAAATAAAAAAAAGATATTGTAAAACACTAATTTTGAATAATTTTAAATTTTAAATAGAATGTATGGACAATCTTTATTAAAATGTTGATAATGACAGTTGGGGCAAGTCTGAACATACTGGAGTAATTTCAGAGGCAAATACAACAAATCCGCCTGCCAAATGAAAAATAAGATTAGTTTGATTGGTTGGATATGACATTTTAACAACATAAGAATCAGAGTCAGAATACAGATTATCAGATGTGATGAACTTGTGTACTTCTGTGCAAAATCAAAATTACTGCACGTAACAGCTGTAATTCTTCATTACTATGGTCAAAGTATGACTTTATGCCCAGGCCTTATAAACTCACATAACACACATATAATTAACCTCACAGCTTCATGACAGGGAATACTATTTAAAAAAAGTCATACCTTTTTCGAGAAAAATCTCAATTAAAATGTGCGTCTTGACTCAACTAACACGAACTAGCTGAAAAAAACGTTAATAAAACTTGACAAGAATGATATGCAGGATAGAGGAGAGCACTTTGTGGACAGCCATCTAAAAAAGAGAATGTTTTTCTGAGTACGCCTGCTGATCATCAGTGGGAGTTCTAGGTAGTGCATCTGCTTCAATTCTAGGCAGTATTTCACACATGATTTACATCTGAGAACACTGGAAGGAGAACTACAGTAAGTTCTGCCATCAACACTGGATAAAAAGGACTGAATTTAATTTAAAATGCCCCCAAACCCTAATTTTATTGTGATACATTAAACCTTTCTCAGGAACACAACAACAACAACGACAACAATGATGACGACAAACATCTGTGTAACATACACACGGCTTCCTGTGAAGTCCACATCTAAATTCAGCCAGTGTTTTTTTGGAGCTACAATAACATAGATAAAGCAGCTGCAAAGACCCAACACTGATTGAACGGACCGGCTGATGTTTTCTACCCGCTGTCCACCTCCGTCAGCCTCCATCAGAATGCACACCCACGTGGACACAAGGGTATAATCAGGAGACATACAAACCTTTAACTGCCTGCTCTATAATGAACAGGGTTTAATTAAGACACAGTAAGTGACATAATTTAAAGCTCATTCCACTCACCCGCTTCTAAGGTCATTGGAATGCTGACCTTAAGTCTTTACTGGGATTTTTGTTTTTTAATCAAAGATAAAAATTTGGTATTTTCACACAACAATATTGTAAAGAAAAAGGTTGTTAATTATATGGAGGGTCCAAACACTTTTCTTGAGTTCACCAGTGGAACTTCAGCAGTGGAACACACGTACACAGTCATAGCTTTTTCTCTTTTTCTAAAGTTGTCACAGCATTTCTAGGTAAAAAACATATCTGATTTCAAGGGAAATCAGATATGTTAGATGGAATTCAAAAAAGAAGTGGGGTAAGGATTAGGAGCAAATTATTTTTGTTAATTATTTCGTTTTCAAATTTGTGGTTTACTAAACAAAAACCGGGGTTAATAAAATCTCACGATTCTCCCAATGTGCTTTTCTTATGACCACATATCATTTATAGCAACTCCTCCAGGGAAGGATCATGAAGCAACGTGCTGTTCTGCAACAATAACACAAAATGTTTTATAAACAGCACTTTTAAACTCGAAAACTTCAACTAAAAGACAAAGCCATTCTCATAATCTAATAATCTTAACCAAAATTAATTATTTATTTATTATTTAATTCTGGCATTTTTCATATTGGCTAATTAATCCACATAAAAGTTAAAAAAATAATATGGCACAACAGCCCAAAGAGGCTCTTTTCACACTACAACCTCACTTGACACTTGGGTAGTTCATCATCTCCCAAGTATTGGTGAGCAACGGCCTGGCTCCTTGGTTGTTCCCATGGTGACGTGCCTATCAACGCCAGGCATGTACACACAGAGCAGACTGAGCTAACAGTGTAGACTCTGTCTGTCTGTCTGTCCGTCTGAACTCATATGCTGGCAGTCCAGTAGAGAAAAGGAGAATCCTGTTGGTGTCACAGCGGACAAAGGCTACACTGGACGGTCTCTATTTGAGTTGGCATTGCTCCATACACAACGTCCAGAAAAATCTCTCTGGAGCAAAAAAAAAAAAAAAAGGGGGGGGGGGGGGAGACAACAAATCCCAGACAAAAAGCATTGGGATCAGCCCTGCTTCTCCCCAGAAGATGCAGCAAAACATCAAGACCCACCATGAAATCATCAAAACAACAGCCACTCCAGAGGCCCTGCCTTCCCACGGTGATTTACTGTAAAACATGGAGCAAACACACCGGATCCTAATGGGGTAACAAAGCAGGACACTGCCACAGATGAATCAGGCAATCGCTTGTAAGGGAAAACTTCTCGGAATGACTTGTGTAAACCTTATTAGAAAGCCCCAACCTGTAGTAGAGCTCTGTGAAACATTCCCCAGCAGTGGCAGGGGCAGTGGCACCCCCCCCCCCCCCCCCCCCCCCCCCCCCCCACAAATCTCCTTCGTCTACGAATTAGGAGAGCAACAGGGTTGGACTTGCAGTGAAAACAGAGGACTGGGGATTATCATAAACACACTCCTGCTTGTTTAATACAAGAACATCAGCTTAAAGGTCAGGTGTTTTACTTTAACAAAAGTATTTTGGTCAAATATCGAATTCAGTAAATGGCTGTTTTATTGTAGCTCAAAATAAGCTTGTTATGTGAACTTGAGGTAGAGGTTGTAGAAAACCAAATCAGCTGGAGTGTACAACATGATCCCCTTGCTATCTTACATGTACATAACATATTATTTTAAACAAAAAATAATTATTAAAATATATAATATATTTGTATTTTTGAGTCATCAATAGGTTAAGGACAGGGTTCTCAAACCCAAATGAGCTGAGGGCCACAGCTGCTATGGGGGCCACATCAGTGATAGATTTCCAATAAAGGTAAAACATATATTTTAGATAAAGTAGTTTTTGTTTTAATTTGAATATAAATTTAAAATACTGTATAATACTACAGTGTTTGGAGCTAGCATTAATCTGTTTTTCACTATATCTTACCCACTTTTTGTTCTGTTGGCAACTGGTTTCAGAGCAGTAGAGTGTTGTTAGTTATTTATTTTAATTATACATCAAGCATTATAACAATCTACTGTCAAGTATGACAACGGCACACGAGAAGCACAACAGCAGTACAGAGTCGAGGCTGAACGGGCTGAAAACATGGAGACCTTTTCTGCTCCTACTTAAACCTGGACATTCTTGCTTGTGGGGGTGGTGAGAGATCATAAAGGGAAAGGCTTCGCAGACTGAGTTGCAATGTTTGGGTGATTACTCCAATTTTCTAAAGGAGGTGACAGCAGTTTTACGCAGTTTATAGTACTGCGCTATAACAGTCCACTAAAATACATATTTTAAGAAACCAACAGATGAAAAAATATCAATTTCTGGAGTGAGACAATGATTCTGTAAAGCCACAAATCCAGCAGAGAGAAAGGGTTCCTGTGTGCATGAGGTAAACGTTTTGGAGTCTTTTGATGTTTCCCTTTATACTAGATGTTACTTCACATCGTGTTCCATCAATGGCAGTTTTCCTGTACAGTGTAAAACAAATTAAACCCACAAGATATCAGATTATACAAATAAATGTGCACCATTTCTGCTCCAGTCTGTGCAGCAGGGATTATCTTTCACCTAAACTTTGGATGCAGTCAGTCAGGCATTTCTGTGCCGTAGCCCACACCCTGCCATATCCTTACATTGAGACAGAGACTCTCTCTCTGCTCCCCAGATTTTTGCTACATGGCAGAGGCCCATACATTACATGAGGGACATGAGGGACTGCACACAAGGAGCTGATCGCTGGAGTTTTTTTCATCTATATGCAGCTGGCAGAGAGGTTTGAAAAATGAAAAGACGCACAACAGCTGGTTCTTATATCAGACCGAGCCTTTAATGATCAGTCTGGAGTCACTTGTTTTGTTTCGTTTGCCTGAAGATCACATTACAGCCACTAAGATTCACTGCATGTTGTATAGGTGCAGCTGCATAGATGAGGTGATTGTTTTGCCTGCTGTGTAGTTTTTCCCTTATTGTTTATCTATTAAATAATGACCAGTGTCAAATAATGCAGTTATCAAACACAAAGCTGTGGACACTGATCCAGTACACTGATGCAGATGGTTACCATTTACAAAACTGGGTGTAATGTCAACGCTTACATGCCTAAGAAAGCCCCTGACTTACAGACAGGTCCTAAAAGCAGTCACTCTGCTTGAAAGCATGGAGGCTTTTCCACTTACAGTCATGACTCAGGATCTGAATCTGACTCAACTTCCTCCGAGAGATCTTTTTTAGCTTTTCAGTTGCTCGGCTGGTAAATAACACTTTAATTAACAGCTTCCTAAGATGTCGAGAGTACGAGGCCAGACAGATTGTTGTTTGTCGTGGGCCTTTTTCTAGTAAGTTGTTTTCCCTCTGATGCCACAGAAACCCCTGTGCAGAGCTGAATGACAGCATAGCATCTGGCAAAACTTCCTGTAGCGTCCACCAGGGAGGAGAGAATGAGGTCAGCTGGTGACACACGTAAGAGTCATTTTCAATATGAAACACGTGCAGTTCAGCTCTGACCAACAGGTGTTCATCTGTGCAATGTACACTTAACACGTTTAGTTTCCACTGAATGGATAAAGTTTGGATTTTCTGTCTGCATGATCAAGTCCAGCAGCACTTTCCACCCAGAAAGGATGGTCATTCTCAGACAGAACTTAGCGGTGGTGACTTGAAATAAAGATAAATAGAATTCCTTTTAGTCATTTTACTCTTGACATCTAGACATTAAATGATAGCAATAAAGTGCATACAGATATAAAATAAGATCTCTGGTGAGAGAAATCAACATTACAGAATCAAGATTAATCCAAATGTAGACATTGCAATTTTGAATAGAAAAGTTAAGGGACATTTTTAAGCAGCTCATCTACCATGAAGCAAAATGTGTTTAAATAAATAAATAAACTGAAGTTATTATTATTATTATTCATCCCACAGTGGGGAAATTCACGGTGTTATCTACAGCAGAGCTGCTACAACAGGGAGGTGCCATCTTGGGTTGAACTCAGGACCTTTTACACCTTTTGTGTAAGAAGGTCTTGGGCTTGAGCCCCAGAGGAACCACATACTTAAGATGGCACCTCCTGTGTGAAAGCCCTGACATTGACAAAGTTAAATATTTGCTACAAAACTAAATATAAATGACTTGGGGCAGTGCTCAGAATTGTAATGTAGACAAATATGAGAGCTGCAGAGTGGGGAGGAAAACAAAAGTACCATGGGATGATGTAGTTATTTCTTATATTTTGATGAATACTGGCTACAGACGACACTTGTCACCTTCTTGTTACTGCTGTGACTAACAGTTATCTCATTTAGTAGTTGAGTCCAACAGTCTCTGTGAAGCATTTAAATCCTTTACCAGTTCAGTATTATAACAAGAGAAATTCAAAGAAACAAAATAGTCCCCTCGTCGCAACACTTTACTGCTTTTTCCATTTTGTTCCTCCTATGACTCAGGCTCTTCTGACATGACAACAAAGTGATGAACTGTTACAAATAGGCTGATGTGGGCGTAAAAAGACCTCCATATGCTGGATTGTGTTAATGAATAAGGTAGTGATCTTAGGTCAGCTGCAGCTAATTAGCTCCATCAGCTACATAACCACAACATTTACTGAATACAGGCAATGGTAACAAGGCAAAAAAAAGTTTCTTTTTCACCTTAGATAAAAAAGATTAACTAAGAATATAAATCCTATTCTTTGATTTCTGAGCATGTTCAAGTGATTAGTAAGGACTGACCTGAATTGCGCCTGAAGCAGAGAGGAGATTTAGTAATTGCACCTGGCTGCTATGAAGGTGATAAAAAGCTTTGCAGCAGACACCGCAGAAATAAATCTACCAAGTCTCTGCAGTAGTCTGGGCTAAATATCATGCTACTAATCATCAAAGCCTCTTCAAAGAGTCTTTAGGACAATAATGAGGCGCTTCATGGTATGGAGGCACAACTTTAACAAGGAGCTTCACATCGCTTTGAAGGTGCTGCACAGAATTTTTTTTGTTGTGATGTTGCAAGATCTGTGTTGTGGGTTGTGTTCAGCTTCAGGGTTGATCCTACTTTACTGAGGCTGCTGCTGCTAAAAGCAAGACCTGCAGAGAGGAGCCCTAATTTGAACACGCTGTGGGAAGGAGTCGGCATATTCCTGACAAACACTTTCACTAGGACTACAAAGACTTGGCCTTCATTTAAAAAAACAAAAACAAAACTAAATTTATATTCTTAATTATACTGAAGCACTATTTTGCAAAAGTCACCAAGAAAGGCAGGAATGTTTGATACAATTAATACTTTTATCTCCGTAAAAACATGAAAAGATACAATAATAACTAGTACGACTCTTGATGTGAAATTGATTTTCTCTGAAATTTTCTGGTATGTGAAGGAAGAAACAAAAAAACATTAGATTGTGGCTCTTGGATGTTACGATCAGATTTTAGAGCAGTGGTGGGGTATGTACAACCAGATAGGAACCATCAGTTTTTCCTGCATGACGTGAACCTGGCTAGGACACTTTACTCCTAAAGTGCCCATTGTTCCCTGGCCACATAGTGCTGGTGCCCAGCCCAGAAAATAGGTTGCAAATGGGTTGAGAGCTGCATTAGGTTAGACATCTGGCATAAAAACAACTGTGCCTACTTCTCTACACACAACCTCTTTAAAAAAGGCAGCAAACCAGTGTGAGTATTTTTTTATATAACATCATTGTTTCTCCTCTGATCTCTATTCTCTGTAAACCTCAGTGATTGTTAAATATAAAATGTCAAGCTTTGACAAAAGGAGCTTTTTATAGCAGCTAATAAACAAACACTTCACCTCAAGAAACCTGTTTCTGCCTCTATGTTTAAATGTCCCGCTTGTTTAAACATAAAGAAAAGTCCAGGAAAATCTAAAACGGTGGGTGGGGGGTGTTCCCCCCAGTTTAAAGGAATATGACCACATGACTCAGCAGCAGCCCAAAGACATGTGGTGCATTTCATACGTGTACAGTCATAAAATATTGGTGAAAAGGAGAAGATGGGTTAAAAGTTTAGAGCAGAGTGAGGAAACTGCTTGACCTTAATCTAAGGCCAGGTTTTATGTCTGGGGTGGATCTCGGTTTGGCTCCTACCTGGAGAATGTATTCCTGGCATAGTGCATGATACTGTCAAAGTCATACACCTCTCCCAGAGAGTCCACCTCCCCTGGTTCCATCTTCAAAAAGTTATATTCCTGTCCTGCATTAGGTAGAAAAGAAGAAGTTGAAACAGAATGTTAACTTTGAAAGAGTGAATGTTAAGTATAAATGTCTGGAAAAGGTAAATACAGTTGTTGTCAATCATATAAAATGGGGAACAACCTTTACTGAAGATGTTTCATTTCCTAAAGGTCACTTTATTCACTTACTGTATCCTAAAAATCTAACAACTGATTTTTAAACAGTGCAGCATTTAACATCCATCCATCCATCCATTTTCATCCGCTTATCCGTTTCCGGGTCGCGGGGGCAGCAGTCGCCACCCAAATCACATTGCACCGTACCAAACCTTCCTGCGGGTGGTGAGTCCACTGGAAGGTACCAACCGCCCTAACCGGGATTCGAACTTGCCCAGGAGGTGAACCCTGGGGTTCCACACCAATGACAGAGACATTGCCTCTGGGCCAAAGCGCCACTAGCATTTAACATGTGTGTTTAATTTTTTGCCATTACATATAGTGAATAACAACATTTTTATACCAGGACCCAGGCATGTGTGCAGAGCCAGCCATACTGAAAACTATCTGGGAAAAAAAAATCTGATAAAGTATTCCATAAAAAGGTGGTTATGGTTCACATTTTTGAAGCAAGACACTATTGGTCAGCTCTGTTACTGCAACCAAAACATTTCTGGGTGGCATCAAAAATGGAATGATACAAACTTCCATTAATTGACAATCTATGAGATGTTCCACATGGTATTCACAATAGCAATATTTGAATGTCTTCTTGCAAGGACGCAAGTTATTTTTACTCTCATGCCAATATTCAGACTCATACTTTTTATTCTTTATCAATCACTGTATCTTGTGCTGGTTTTACCCTCCCTTCTATCTTCAAATATGTCATTTTATTAATAGTTCATCATCCGTTGTGTCTTTGCAGCATTTTTTGCAGCATTTTTGCTGGCAGATTGCACTGTGCCCTCCATTGCTCCTACCTGGCTGAATGTTGTCCCTGATGATGCTGACGTGTTCGTCACGGTCCGGCCGTGTGTGCTCATGCCAGAAACCAATCACGTGACCCAGCTCGTGCACCACAATGCCAAACTTGTCACAGTTTTTCCCGATGGATATGGCCTGGGGGCCCCCTCCGCGGCGCCCCACGTAGGAACAGCACCTATGAATCAGCAGCCAGACGCACAAACAGAGAAAGGGCAGTGTATAAGCCAATGCAACACATAACGATTTGATTTAGTGTTTTACATACATAAAAAAAGGAGCTTGTGGAAACAGGTTTCCATGGTAGGAGGGACTGGACTGGGACTGTGTTGGTGGTTCTACAGTGTCTGATACATTTTTGTACAGTGTGTTTATGACATCATTTCATCATTTGTTTCCTGAAGGTGATTTTGTTTGTGTTGACCCTTTGCACACATCAACAGCAGTAATATCCATTCATCCATCTGCCAACACAAATGCTGCAAGTGACGGTGGAAACTGACTGTGGTGCTGTATCTTAGTGTGACATTAAAGATTCAGTGTGGGAGTGAGAGACACACATATACACAAACACACATACACATCTTGGCCCTGTGGGCCAGACAGCCGCTCTCTAATTACTGCCGGTCAGGCCAGGCTCTCTGCTGAGACACGCCTTGAACTTTGCACAGGGAGGCTGCTGAATATGCAGCAGAGTGAAGCGTTCCCACTGCTAACCGCTGCCGCCCGCGTGGATAATGTCATCCCTGTTGCTCCGGGGATGGTAGGACAGCTAACAGGCTAAAAATGGCTGACGGGCCGACGGCTGGAAAGACTTTCATCAGCCGCATCCACCTTCTGTTTGAGCTGTATATCTTAAATGACACACATCAGCGGGAGACATACATTGTGCGGAATGACATAATGCTTCCAGTTTTGTGGGCTAAATCCTGGAGAGGTTTAAACATGGGTAGTCTTAAGCGTTTTCCATCTGCGAGACCCCTGGGAGCCTCACTTATGCCTCTTTAATGCTTCTTCCAGCAATTCTGGCCTCTTTTTCTTCAATCTCTTTAAATTAATAGGCTGCACTGGTTTCTATTCCCTATGGCAGGGCATTAATTTAAAAACAATTTCATTATTAAGTAAAAAGAGTCCTATATGTTCATACTAGTTGTCAGTAGTCGCTTAGCAACTGCCCAAATATGTCAAATGTTCCCTCATGTTTAATAGAGTTGCTGAATGGACACTGAGAATAACTTCAGAGAAGTGCAGACAACTGGAGGACACAGATGTTATGGAGGTCTGTCCCTGGGTGTACTCCTAGTGTATGACAGGTCAGTGAGTGATGCAGTGGGAGGATGAGGCAGAGGAAACACTGAAACACTGACCACTGAATATCTGTCTTTTACTGGACCGGCAGGGGGTTGAAATAACAGCTCACACAGACTTAGAAACAGGAGGAAGGACAATAAAGAAAGGCTGCAGGGAAGCAGCAGAGGAAACCACCAAGGTGCTACATAATAAGCTGAAGGTAGCAACGAAGCAACAGAGGGTGACCATTGTTCTGTTAGTGCTAGAAGGAGCTGAAAACCCCACTGACTCACCCACACGGTCTGTAGGTGAAGACAATATAGCTCTCCTCCTGCGTCCTCTCTATAAAGGTCACACAGGTGTGTTTCTCCCAGTGACGCATGGCCTGGCGGAAGATTGCCCGCTGGCTGCCTGAAAAAAGAACGAACAGAGAGAGTGAGCTCAGTGGAGCCAAAACAGAAATATATTCATGTGTTTTTCAATAAAGAAAAATATAAAAAACACTGAATTGAATGAAACTGGCACCAAAGAATCCATAACCAGCGAAGACGCAGAATGTGTTTTAAAGGTTTTTCAATTTTAGGCTTTTACACCAGAGGTATTTTTGTCGCTTCTCATAATAGAGTCATAAAATACACTCTTTTTGGTGTGTGTATGAACCACACAGAAATGGAGAAAAATAGTTTTACAAACAGTTTGGCAGTAATTGCAGCACTGATTGACATGTAAATTTACTACAAATCATTTTAACTTAAATCTTCTTAACTTAGCTTCAGGTCAAATGCAATACTAAAAGCTACGTTCTTGTCATCTATGTATGAAAATGGGGCCTTAAAAAACAATATTTAAAAAACACATTATGGTTTTTTTTTTAATCATCTTTACCTTAGGAGGAGGCTCTATGTCACTTACCACTGAAGTTACCACTGATGACATAGGGAATAACACCTTCAGGCCAAACACGCTCGGGTCTGGAGGTAGCAGCTCTTTTCCTACGACGTGACCCATGTCTGTTTGAACCTCTCCGATTGGCTGATCCTGTAACATGTAACAGGTTAGAACAGTGTGTTAAATATATACTGTTAAATGCAGGACAACCTAAGACATTATTTAATATGTGAAAAGATTTAAAACATTATTATTATTATTATTATTATTATTATTATTATTATTATTATTTCTTGGTTAAATAATTAAATGTGTTTTTGTTTAAACATTTTGTCTGAACTTTGCACAAAGGACTTTTTATTAAATCCTAAAATACTAATTTATTTCAATGTAAATGACACTTTTATGAAAAAAGGTTCAAGAGTAACCTAAGCATCCACCTAAACTTTTTGATAATAATAAGGATCGTACACATGCATGGGAACACACGTACCACAGTGACAGAACAAACAGTGCGGGAGATTGCACCTGGTTTTAACTAAAATGTCAAACAATTTCAAATAAACTTCTGAACTGTCAAAAGTCAGTTAAAGGTCGTACAGTAAAAATGTTCCCTCTACTTTTATTGACATCTTATAGTCTTGACTAGGAAAAGAGCAGAATGATTTTAATTGGCTTAGAGTTTCTGACAAGCTGTCAGTCTACAATCCAGCCAAAATGAGGTGTGGCATTTACATCGTAATTGTATACAATCTCTTTTTGATAACTAGAAAATAAAACTCAAATACCCTTTTCACACAAATGTGCATGTTTTTTTAATCAGACCCTGAGCAGTATTTCTCAGTTCTGAGAGTTTTATTACACATGAAAAACTACAGACACTTAAGTGTTTTTTTTTTTTTTTAAACGAAGAGGTAAAATATTACCTTATAAGGATCACGATCTCTGCAGGAAAAAAGTTCTGCAGTCTCATAAGCTCTGTAGATTTACAATACATTTGTGCGAGAGTTTTATGTATGTGTTTTTTATGTGTGGTGGAAAGATAGATCAGAAAAAATATATATATATTTCTTTGAAACCAGTAAATGTAATATATACATCTATATATACAGTATATATACTGTCGTTGCTGGTGTGTGGTCAGAGGAGGGGGATAATAGGGCTGTAACACCTCATATTTACAGCTAAATGTTAATAAAGTTGCTTTGAAAGGTGAAACTTGCATCATCATTAATCTTTAAAAGTGAAAGGGCAGATTGAAATACAGGATAATTCTATGACATGCCCAGTAAACAAAGAGCTACAGTAAATTTACTTCCAAGTAAGATTTGATTTGCACAGACTCTTCCATATACAAAATCAAAATACCCTGAAATAAACGTATATGGTATTTTAAGATTCTCCTTTCCACTAGGCCCCAGACAGGTATTGGGCCGTGAATTTTTTGAATTTTGCACCAGACTCTAAATAAAGATTAAAGTTGTTTAAAACTGTGTTTTCTTTTAATTAGTAATTTGAAAGTCTCCTGGGAAATTTATTTTGAAAAATTGCCACATCCTCTTGGACATCTGAAATTAATCCTCCCACAGATTCTGCAAAGTTATAATAATTATTATTATTATTTAATATTTATAATAATAATAATATAGTAATTACAGTTAAATGTCATATTATGCACTTATTAATACTTATTGTAATACAATCATGCTGTAATATTGGTGTAAAAATAAAAGATAATCATAACCTATACGGGAATATAAATAAACACACATATGTATGCGTTTACATTTCCTACATCTTCTCACTTTAACAAAATGTTGCAGGTTTCCTGTTTTACACTAAAACCTAAAACTTCATTTTTTTTAACAAAAAAAGAGGGATTAAAAATCAAGCACTTTAAAAAATATATCCCAATGTGAAACTATTGTGGCTCATGTTAGACAGCAAAGAACAGAACACTGATTAGATTCATTCATTAGAAAATGATTTCTTCCATTTTGCAAAGCGGCAAACCCTACGCTTGCAACACTTCATAAGCCTTCATCTTGTCTTATTTAACTTTAACTAACATGGCTTGCTGGAAGAAATTATTCTTTTTCATTTCAGCTTGCTAGAATAAATTGCAGTCGTCTGCAGATCAATTAGCACCTACACTTGTACATGTGCTGAGGAAACGTCTGTGATAACAGAGCAGCCCACTCTGCTCAGTGAGCTGATAAGAAGTGCTGGAGAGACACAAAATTGTTGAAAAAAAAAACCTTAATTAAAAATATGAATACATGCACAAGTTGTATTTGTACAGAAATACAAAGACAGATTAAAAGTTTTAAACGACAATTGAGATGATTTGTGGTCATGTTCTTTTTTGAACCAAATGGTGGATGTGGGAGGACTGAGTTCACGTCACATGGACATAAGGTCACAGATTCAACAAGTGTTAGGAAATGTTTTAGATTGGAACAAAATGAGAGCACTTAAATATGGGATTCATGATTCATTGTCCTAAGAAATAAAAGCTGTAAGAACCTAGGACATAATTCTCTAACTTGATCACTACAAATCGTAAAAGATGCTTTGTTTCTGCCATAAATCCTCCTCGTAGCAAACCACCAGCCTCCTCTTTGAAGCACTTTAAAGGACTTGATGAATATCCTTCATCGTGTCCTTCTGACAGTATGCCTGCCAAATTTCTTGAAAGCGGTTTTAGGATTTTTCTTTTGTAAAAACCTCTCTGTCTACTATCAGTGTCCACATTTGCTTTACCCACGCAGGACTGCACACTTTTTAATGACACATCCATCCATCCATCCATCCATTTTCATCCGCTTATCCGTTACCGGGTCGCGGGGGCAGCAGTCGCCACCCAAATCACATTGCACCGTACCAAACCTTCCTGCGGGTGGTGAGTCCACTGGAAGATACCAACCGCCCTAATCGGGACTTGAACTTGCCCAGGAGGTGAACCCTGGGGTTCCACACCAATGACAGAGACATTGCCTCTGGGCCAAAGCGCCACTTTTTAATGACACAAAGTCTATTAAATAATATAAACAATATTAAACATTAAATCCTTTAAGGAGCTCATATATTTTTATTTTGTTGTTTTTTTAAAGAACTTCAGTCTGACTTCAATCGTCATGACACTATACTGTGTCTGCTCTAATCAAAATGGCCTATGACCCATTGCTTAACAGCTGACACTGGCAACTGTTCAGATTTAATCCCTCTGGACTTTAGCTCTGCCTCTGAAACTGTAAATCATACCATTTTACTGAACAGATGGGAAATATAGAAAAACTCTGATGGAACTCCAACTCCAAGATTTAAGCAATAAACTGTTGTGTTAAACATCCTCTGTGTCTTGGATATAAACCTCTTGTCAGGCATCCCTGTGCTTTGTGGCAGTTCTACAGGGCTCAGATCTTGGAATATTTGCTTTTGTATGTACATGTTTATACACAGACAATACTTTGTGACATTTATGCCACAGTATGTTAAACAAAAATCATAGAATTAAAAAAGTTTTATGTTTTGTCTAAAATAAGCAGTTTTTACAGTTGAGTTTCAGAAGATCTTAGGTCCTTTTACCTATTAAGTTAATAATTTTTAAGGCTTAAAGTTATTATACTTTCTTCACAAAACACTGTTTCCTCTACATGTTCATCCATTAGAAGCAAATCACCAAAAAGTACCATGGAGGCCCCGACTACAACGTGCACACACTTGCCGGTTCATGCACACCTGTATTTTATGTGATTGCGAAGCCTTGTGTTCCCCGCTGACTCACAGCTGCTGTTTAAATACTGCTTTTAGATTTAACAACAACGCCTAGCCTGATAAATCCTAGCAATTACTGTTGAACATGGAGCTACAAGAGTAGCAAAATGATGGCTGTGTACATAGAAGAGGAGCTCATGACATAAAAGCTTAATATTATTGAGCTAAGTATCTGATGTTCATGACGTGTTAACATCCAAGTATGTCATACTTTCAAATGTTGAACAAGATGCAGTCATGGTGTTCTGAGTTGTTTTAGCTTTTGGTGTCAACATTTTGCCCACATTTTTTAATCAATTGCTTTAAGCTGTTCGTTATCAAGGTGTGAATTGTGATGTTGTTACCTGCACTTGTGCGATTGAAAGTGTAGACGGTTCTCTGGGCCAAATCTACTATTCTGTCCACTTTGAACGACCGCAGATCCTCCTCATCCAGAGCAATGTCTCCCAGAAAGGCAGCTGAAACACACAGATGCAGATGTTAGATGGAGCAGAATAGACAACTGAGGGAGAAATGTATAAAGGCTAGGTTCACAATTACGTTGGAAAACACATGACAACTTGGCATGGATTATGTTGCACTGCTTGAAACAGTTTTTGTGAGCAGGTTTTTGGCAGAAAATCCAGCACCAATGTCAATGACAAATGTCAATGTCAAAACAATCAATATCATAAATCCAAAACATATTTGCCTTTGTATTGCGAACGTGTGAATTAGTTAAACACCAAATAAAGACCCAGTCAAAATGCTTTAGGACAGAAATGGATGCATATGCAACAGTTTTATGTCTGACACTCATATTTCTTGCCAAAGAAATAAACGTATTGTTATGTTTCTATTTGGCTAACAGGCATTTCAAATTTCTCTCTCTCAAAATACAGCAAACAGATGTGAGTAAGAAACCTAAAGCATTCATCTTTTGAAGGTTCGTGGAATGACAAGGATGGGCGAAACTCAAAAGAGCTTAGTGTTGACATTTTTCAAATCATAAATCCTGTCAGATGTCCCCAACCAACAAATCTTCCACTGTGGCGAGGATGGTTAATGGAAGCAATCCAAACAGATACAGTGAGGCATTGAGACTGCCTCCACAGAGAGATGTGGAGCACCTTGAACAAGTAATGGCTCTTTAATGAGGCCAAGGAGAGGGAAAAATAACCAAACAGTCCCACTTTATGAGGAATGTGCTTTTATGGGAATCCTTAGAAAATGTCCCATTTCTGTGGAGGATAAGATGGGAGTCCTTTCCACAGAGACATGGGGGTTGGGGGTCCGCTTTACAAGCTTTTTACAAAGGCACAAATTTACAGTTTATGGTGCAACCTGGTGCATACGGGTTTGGGAACTGTTGGACAGCAAAAAGGATTTTCATATTTCACTTCAGAAAAATCCCATGATGCAACACCAAACAAAAATGTTATAAAAAACTAACAACGGACCAGGTTTTAAGGTGAGAAAGATCTCACCATAAAACCTGGTCCGTTTAGTTGAATACAGCCCTGGTGTAGTCACAGGAATAGAAAAAAGACATACACAATGATCTTGTTCAGCAGCTCTCAGTCATAATCCCATCTAAGGAAAGTGTTGTTACTTGTTCTACCTGTCACTGTCGCATAGAAGAACTAAGAGAAATTATTTGTCGCAAATAAATCTCAAACCAATGAGTGAAATCGGACTACAGAACACCTGATGATCTCTAAAAACCCACTAGTGGGCCACGGCACAGTGGTTGAGAATCACTATGAACCTTATTCTCCCTCAGTTTATGTTGTCAGTTAATGCCAAAGCTAAGGTCTGTGTCTTCATAAATTATGGTCACTTGTGGACAACAAGAGAGAAAACAGAAGTGAGTAAGGGTCAACATGACTGATCACCTTGTGAGATTGACAGCTGAATCACAACAAATAGCTATTGGACGACTGTGCTGTGATCAGTCATAAAGTGTGCTAATCTTCCACCTTTATCTCATTTGTCAACAGGAAACACTTTACACTTGCACAGCTTCACCCTCAAATGCTCTTCAAGTTATCCTTAAAAGTAGCACCTTCTGACATATTTTTCTGGTTATTCATATATGTGCTGAACTAAAGTGCCTGAGAGCAATTAACAGCAGTTTTGCTTGTTAAATGGTTAATCAGAGAATCCTAAATGTGACAACCTCAGACTACAGTCTGGTCTCCAGTTACTTTGAAATAAAAATGCTTATTTAACAACATCTGTAAAAGATTGAAATGCTTTGCTTTTATCGCCTGTACTTGTAGAAAAAAACTGACAAGCCTGAATGGGAGAAAAGGAACGAAAGCTGAAAAGAGGCACTCGACATATTTAATTTTGTTTTAAACGTCCCCTCTGAGCAGTATCACTGAAACAATCTGGAGTGAGATGGTGGTCCCAGGGCCAGCCTGCTCTTCCTCCCTCCTGCAGGTCATTGATGATATGCTGCAGAATGACTGTGTTTGAGTTAAGAGGCTAACGGCGGCAATAAGGAAAGGTGTAGATCACTGCAGGCAGGACTGGGCCTGCAGAGAGAATGAGTTTAAATTCCAGAGGTCAAAGAGATCCTCTCATTTGTACCTGTGAAAGACACTAATTTACCGCATCCTCCGTGACAGACAAAACAGAGGGCTCATGTCCTGCCCCCATATTGACAGCAACTGCCAAAAGGATCAGTGTAAAGAAAGCAGCTAGCAGATGTTAGTATAGGAGTATAGGACAGAAAAAAAAACAACAAAAAGATAATTTTCTCTTCAACGTCACAGTGTCTGGTTGATTCCCAGAACTGGCCAAGAACAAAACTCACAAGAACAGAATGTATTCCAGAAAAAAAAAATATTCCAAGTTGCTGTCATTTGAAATGCCCTTCAAAAACAGAGATTTAAAACTCTTTTCTGCTTCATATTCCCTGTGCAAAATTAAACAACAATGGGAAGATGTTTTTCAACATGTCAGCAAAGTTTTGTGCGAAAGATAAATAACATAATGCAGACCCCCCTCCCCATGACGTTTACATAGGGGTGCGTACCCTCCCTGCCCATGGATGACCCCCAATCATCCAACACTGTGCAGGAGACAGCCGCTCTAATCCGCAGTGTCATTGTTCTCAGACAGCAGTGCAGATTGAAGTGAGCAAATGCACGGCCCCGGTGGCATTAGGACTCATTCCCTTGGGCGCAGCAGTCGTCCTGGAGACGCTGTTGCAGGTTTTGCAGAGGCTTGCTTGGATTGTGCATTAATCCCCTTGTCTCTCTGCTTTAATTATCCACAGGCACATGGTTTTGGGAATCTTTTGTACACAACTTTATCCAGGGATTAAGGACAGGTTATGAAGAAAGGTGATAAACTCATCTCAATACAGAGAGAGGGAGCTGTGATGGTATTAAGCACAGGCACACAGAGAGGGGTATGTTGTACCGCAGATTAAACCTCAGGGAATGTGGCAGATGGCAAGTGATCACAACAGAGCACAGAGCTGCATCTCCTTCCAAACATTATTCATTACCTGAATGACAACAGCTGCACTGACACCACTGATATCTATGCAGACAGGTTGGTTTAGACATGGGAGGATATGAAAGTGTCATGGGACAGTCAGACCGTCTCATATGAGTATAATTCACAAGACTAATGCCAGACTTATAGCAGCGGGTACATGTTGTTATAATAACTGACACCTTAGTTTTAATGTCATACTACAAACATTTTAAGTTAAGTGAGAACTAAGGTTTGACTTCGAGGTATATTCACCATATACGATCACAAATTGGGCGATGGTTGTGGAGAGTCAAACAGTACAGAAGAAAATGACTTTTATCACAGCTCTACAAAGACAACACAAATTAGTTCTAAACATGGCCTTAGAACAATGCAAAAACATAACATAAGCAAAAAAAAAAAAAACTCAAATCCCAGTTAATAGTCTGCTACCTGGAGGCACAGGATGCTCATTGAACCTGAAGCATTTCAGTTGATCAGATGAGACAGAACTACAACTTTTGGCCCTTTTAGGAGTAATGGGTAGAGTCATACAACCTGAAGGGAAACATCTCCAAAATATACACTGAGGTAGAGGTTCCATGATGTGGGAAAAATTCATTGCATTTGGAATTGAATGCGGAAGGAACTACGGTGACAATTTTAATATTTTATCTGCTTCGTTTTTGTTTATTGAATACAGGGTAAAATAATAGTAGTGTTCTAAATAAAGTAATCAATGCTTTATTTAACCCCCAAAAGATTTTAAAAATCACGACTCTGGTCTTTAATTTTTTCTTGTCATATTTGTGTGTTAATACATACAGTAGGGTTTTAAGTTGGTGTTCTTGTCAGAGATCCTTTAAAAAAAAAGAGCATTTTTATACCAACCCTGTTCAGCGAAACGCTCAAATTAAAAAAAAAAAAGAAACACGACAATACTGATACTTTTTTCCAATAATCCATCATAATCCTTCTGACCTCAGACTGTGACTCCCTGCATCAATGGATCATCATTCAGATTACACATGAGATCTCAATCAAATTAATCCCATTGATTCGTGCCCCAGCCTCAACCTCTGCAGGGTCAAATACTCTGGGATCTTTTTGCATAAATCTCCTTCCGTGAATACCAGACCACAACATCTGCCATTGAAACATGCACAAACATCAACACAAAGCCTGTACAGACACACATACACCAGGCTATATTTAGCAGGGTCGGCTTCACTGCAACGCCACGGCTTACTCCTCACTGCGCTCACATAGACATTTCCACAGTCTTTCCACATACAACACTCAATGATGAGGGTTGAGAGAGACTGGCCAATATGTAAAACCTGGAATGCATCACAATGCCCTGGCACCGCCTTTCACAGTCTCTGTTTGGTAACAAACGCTGTATTTGAATTCCAATAGAGGCCTATAGTGTATTGAGTTTAGGGTGATTACTATCTAATGACAGTGTAAGTATCACTTTCAGGTCTCAATCTGTGGCTGCAGCTTTTTCTTTGCAGATGTTTTCTTTTTTTTCTGCAGTGTGGCCATTGTCTCTGCAGACGGTGTGTGTTTAATACTGGAGGGAGAAAAAACAACTGTAAAAAAGTAGCAAAGCCAATGCAAGACTGGCTTGTTTCTGAGAAGAAGAAGAAGAAAAAAAACACTTAACTTCAACAAAGGCATGATTAATTGAGCTATGCAGCCTGGTTGTGTTGTAAATATCGTACCTTTCTTCTGGGCAAAAGGCAACACCAGCTGTGCCTTCGGCCAACATTTACGTGACATTTCCTAACACTGCACTTCCAGCTTTAAGAGAAACAACGTCAAAGGGCAGTCAATTTATGTTGCTACAGTAATTTAGCCAATTATTTTTCAGTACATGCCTAAGGTGTCATTAGCTACAACTGATCAAGGATGTTCTTACCGTTGCCACAGCTACACCTTAACTTTAAATGACAAGACGAGCGCAGCTTTAAGCTGCAAAGGG